GGTATAAAAGTGTTGGGTGATTTATACGACAACAATGTATTGAAATCTTTTGAAAAACTCCCACAAGACTTTAATCTACCCCGGCAGGATTTTTGGAAATATTTGCAATTACAACATTTGATGGTAAATACATTTGGCTCACCCACAAAGCCCCCCTTGTGCTGTGATACTCTGGAGCACATTAAAAATGTTTTTGGACGCAGACACGAGGCCTCAGTCTATTATAAAATGTTATTGTCATCCTCAGATCTCAATATGCTGTCCCTTAAAAGAGCCTGGGAAACTGATTTGAATCTTTGTTTTACAGAGGAGGAGTGGAATAAAATTCTTGGGAATATGACAAAATTGTCACGAGAACTACGTTCTAGATTGGTCCAATTTAACACACACTATTGTGGAGAGGGTTGTTGGTCAGGGCATTCCTTTTACTAGCAAGCTTTATGTACTGGGAGATCCTTCAGTTTTGAATTACTTGCCTTCCTCTCTTGCACAGTGGGTACAGACAGCCATCATGCTGGGGAGAAAACTTTTAGTGAGGGAGTGGAAGGCCCCATCAACACCTACTTTCACCCAGTGGCACACCGCACTTGGACAATTGGCAGCATTTGAAAGATTATCATACAGACTGTTAAATAGAGTAGATGATTATAATAACAAATGGGCCCCCTACTTTTCCTACACCGATCAATGACGTTTCTAGCTCAGATCAACCTTAATCACTAATGTCTGCTGCAACCTTGGATAAGTGCATTGTTGGCATCTTTATTGTTTCTATTTTATTTTATTTTATATTATGGTTTGTTTTGCTTTATATTGTTTGTTCTCAGTGCTTGCATACCCAATTGGTATAATGTGCAACATGGTATACTTTGTATGTTTTATTTTGTTAAAATCTAAATAAAGTTCAAGTCATAAAAAAAATGATATATTAAAATGATTATAATTTTAATAAGATGTAATCGTTTAAAGTTATTACATTTGAAATTTCAATATTTAACTAGCATTGTGTTGGGAAACAACCCAAATTGGTTGTTTTTTTTGTTTTTGTTTTTTTAATCCAATATTTTTTTGTGTGATTTAAAGCTCTACCTCCAGTCGTCTTGGGTTTGTTTATCTGTCCATAGCTGATGTCCTCCTGCCTTACTGCAGAGTAAACTGCAGATTGATCTCTCTCTGATCAACAAAAATACAGATTATATTATTGTGGGTCTCAGATCATTAAATTGGTCTCAAAAGAAGAACTTTGATGATAAAGTCACAATTTATACTAAATCCACTGGGTCGCCGGCGAACCGTTTTAAAGGGTTTACAGCTAATAACTAGAATGCATGAAAATTACAACGGTAAAATTATTTTACTAACATAGACATATTAGACATCATTGGAAAGCTTAGATTCTCCACAAATCAACCGCTAAGTTCATTTTATGGACATAGCGAGCAATAAAGCAGAATTAACACATTGCAGCATGTAAAAACGTAAACATGATAAAGCAGCCACAACAGCATCCATTTGAAGGCATCCAGAAGCAGTTTTATTAATCCAATCTTGAATTGTTTATACTCCATTTGTCCATAAGGCTCCACAGATTAAAAGTAATCCAGCAGAATATTTGTAATAAAAATATTCTATGATGAGATAATCGCCACATAAAATCCGGTTGTTGACATCAGAAAATTTATCTGGTCATACCTAATGCTTAGCATCTTGCTAACATTAATTTCAAAAAATTATTTCCTCAGTTGTTAGCCTATGATGTTTGGTATGTTTCTTTACATCGTCTTCTTTCCTACAAGACAAAAGTGTCTGCATCTTTGTATGACTCGATTTGAGTCAGGGACAGTCGCTGAAGTCTCCCAAGTGTTCCTTGCCTGTCAGCCAATGACGCACCGAGTAGAGCGATATTACGCCTCATAGAGTCCTGCTGTTATTGGTTAAGACCATGTGGGCTTTTTGGCTAGGTAGCCAAATAAATGAGGTTTCAAACAAGGCTAGACATGAGTGGGTCAAATAAAGCAGAGCCGTGTTACTGGCTTGCATAAGAGTGAAACACACAGCTGAGAGTGGATCAAGGCACCCAGCTTGAAGCTGAATAATAACAACGGTTCTATTTTTCTTTTAGTTTGGACCCGGATTTTGTTTTCTACAGAGCCAAAGAATGAAAAAAAAAACAAGAAAACAAAATAAAGCTCAGAAAAGGCACTGGGGCTTATTTCAGCTTGAAAAGCAGCAGTTTCATTATTTTTTTTTTATTTTTTTTATGTTATTGTATGTTTATAAATGTTATATTTTGTTATATATACTGATTCTGAACAAAACTGTAAATACTTGCCTAATAAATGTTTTGTGGCCATCAAAATGCTTCAGTGTTATTCTATGGGTCAAAAAGTTGAGTAAAAGCATTTGGCACAATTTGGCGAGATTTGGAGATGCTGGTGACGGCAAAAGTTCAAAGCCCCACAGCTCTGGAACTGTTTTAGCTAGAGGTCTGAATTTTCTGCATTTGTGTTTGACATTGCATTACAAATGTATTACAATGAGACATGCCTTTTCTCAAGCATGTCTTTATTATTGCTGCTCAAAAAATACCTATTTTTTTTTTCAAGAATTAAAACAACAACAGCTTTCAGTCATGTTTGAACTGATGCCACTTGATTTATGTTTTAATCACCCAATTTTTTTTGGACTTACAGTTCTTAGGTTATTTGTTTTTCCATTTGGGTATGCAAAATAGGCAAGGATTACTTAGAATTAGGTGGTTTTTAAAAGGATAGCATTGAATTTTAACAGGTTTTCTTTATACGCTGCTGTTAATGACAAACATCTAAATATATAAATGTTTCTGTGAACCAGAGACCACAGAGCTGTTAATCTCCAAATACACAGAAGTAAACAGAGTGTAGATTCATGCTTTGTTCACACATTTATTCTGACACCTTCAGATCACACTGAGATGGAAACTATGATGGTTCAGTTTCTACAACATTGTCTTTTTTTAAAGCCGTTAAACATGTTTTGCCGTAACATGAGGCTGTTCTGCTGCTCTGAAGGGACTGGATCCATTCGTCTTATTGACCTTATTTGTCTTGATTATTGATACATAACCATATATGTGTGTATGTATCAATTTAGCTCCGATATGTTTTAATTTCCACTCTCAGCCTCTGTCAACAGGAAATAAGTTGATGTATTCCACTCCTGCTATATGCACTTTTAATTTCTCAGAACTCTTAGCTGTATTATTATTATCTATCTCTGTTTATATAAAGTAATTTTTTTTTTCTTCATCCACATTTGCCTTTTTAACCTTCTTCCTACCTTTAAGCTTTGGACAATGAATGAATGGTTCCAACACACTGGGCTTTTTCTGCATGTCTGTGTCATGATCTTGACGCTGATCACGGGCTTAATTACTCATTTCATTCACCTGTCTAACTCTGCCCGGTTTCTCATTTCTGCTCTTATGATCCACCTGCTCCAGCTTCTATTTAACCTGCCTGCTTCCAGATGTGAGTGCCAGATTATTCTCAAGCCAGTGGGGAGAGTGTGTCCAGTGATACCTTAGGGTTTCTATGCTGCTCTGCCTCTCAACCACATAGACTGTGTGTTCCCGTCTGGTCTGTTTTAACCTGCCTGCTTCCAGCCATAAGCCTAGATTATTTCTTGAGCGACTGGTGAGACTGTTTTCAGCGTTACCTTAGTGTTTCTGATTACCTGATCCTGTTCTGCCTTTCAACCACTGAGCGCACCTGTTCCCATCTGATCTCTTTTTACAAGCCTGCTTCCAGTTGTCAGGAAAGATTATTCTCAAGCAGTGGTGAGAGCGTTTCAGCGTTACCGTAGTGATTCTGAGTCTTTTCTGCCTCTCAAACACTGAGCCTGAGTGTTCCCGTCTGATCTGTTTGCCTGTACCATCTTTGGACTCCTGCTGGATTCTTCCTGTTTGCTGAACTTGGAGCTGTTTCCTGTTACCAACCTTGATTTCCCTTCAGAGCCTCCACAGACTTCTGATCTCCTGGTTCTGAATCCTGAGCACGTCCTCGACACAGACTCTGGCTTTGCCTTTTGGATTATCTTGCCTTCCTTTGGATCTGATCTACTGCTTGTTCTCCATCCTCTAGGACTACAGCATCTGGGACCCTATGAACACCGCCCACTGCGTCAGGTTGTCAACCACCCGGCTGAAACCAACCTCATCCTCTTGGCACAAACTAAGCCATAAAACCAGGTTAGTGTCTCACGTGATTATAATTATCTTCAGCTCCTCCTCAGCCAGGGAATTTGTGGTGACAAAGAGTCTTGCACGAGAAACTGCCCCTAAAAGTCTATGAAAACAGTTCTGTCCATGTCTGCCTCCATTTTTATAAGTCCAATGGGAAAAATATTCCCACGGTATCAGGACTTTGGAGAAAACAACTTCTTGCTTGAGGTTCTCAAAAACATCTGACTCATATGTATCCAAGCATTGCATCAATAATCAGTTATGTAAAAGAAGTCATTTCTAATTTAGATAGGAATAATTCTATAAAAACTATCTGCAATTTTGGTCAAGTAAATATATATTAAATCAGCCACTTAAAATTATTAGTGATTTGTAGATATATGAAATTTAGTTCTTAGTGCTACAAAGTTGGTTCCAGATTACTTTAAATAGGGTGAGAGGTGATTAGGAGCCAGACAGAATAAAGCAGGTGAATGACATGAACAATTAAGGCCAACTATCAGGGCAGATCATGACAGGTCCACACTGCCTAAAGATGGTGAGCTAAGCTGGAGGCATGAGGTTCACTGATTAAATCTATAAAAAATCATGAAGAAAATGTTGTTTTCGTCGCCACATTGGGGTATATGAAGAATTCATAGCAAAGAGATTCATGTAATACCATCTGGAAAAAGGCTAAAGCAAAGCTAAAAGTTATACTGCATTTCTGTGAATACTTTCCTAATCTACTGTGTTTGTTTTGGTGCTTCAAAGCAGTTCAGGTTTGGTGATGCATTACCTCTGCTGCCTCTGATTGGCTGCTGCTGGTTAGGGAGGATTTCCAGGTGACTGTAGGTGATGTTCGCTTCTCCTTTTATCACTTTGTTACCTGGAATAAAGCAGATAAACATCTGAGCTCATTCAGTCTTTTGACAATTAGAACATGTAAAAAAAAAAGGAGCCAATGTTGAAAGCAAGTGAAAATATGAGTAACTCACCATCAGATTTACTCTTTATAAGGAATCTCAGCAGTAGAACCAGAAGGATTGAGAACAAAGTGAATATAATAACAATAATAATATAATGACCAGAAAGAGATACACTAGGAGCTACTGTGGTGGGGGGGGGGGACTGGCCAGAGGAAGGAGTGATGAGGACTGGAGGAGTGGTTGGTTTCTCTGAAAAGATCCAAAGATAAATATTATTTAGATGATCAAGCATCTAAGAAACATCTGGAATGAGGAAAGTTTATCAACTCTGGTTTATGGTGTGACTCTGTTCTGTAGCCTGAACTGCAGAGAGAATAAAAACCTCTGACTGTGATTCATATAGAGATAGTTCACATAGAGTTTCAGAGCTCAGAGCCAGTTTGTTCAATCACTGTCACTAATGATCCTGTTGATACTTTTGTCAGCCACATAAATACACGTGTTGATGACAGTACATTAATAATGAATTTGACCTAAACATCAGCAGTTATGGGAAAAATCTTCACTATATTCCCATAAAGAAATGCCGCAAAAATAAAAGAAATGTATCTAGAAACTTCTTTAACCACATAGATAAAGCAAAACTATACCAGACCTGTTGTTCCTAATGCTACACAGTCACTGAAATCTGTCCCAGAGAGATGTGGAGTAAATGATTAAATGTTGCAGTTAGAGACAAAGATGTCACCATTTACAAAGTTCTACAGAGAAAACTCCTGAAGTTTGGGTCTCATCATTATAGTTCCTCTGAGAAACTATAGAACACAGAGAAGCAGAGGGAATATGCAGGGCAGGAGGGAGACTAAAGGATGGGAGACAGAGCTGGTGTGGAGAAGAAACAGGAAATCAGGAGGAGAGATACAGAAAGGGGTGGAGGTGAAGGATGGATTGATGCAGATGGAGGAGTGATGGAGGGTTT